TGAGCTGCTCCCAGGCTGTCCACTTTGCCTAATTGCTGGTCTCTTCTACACACACCTGAGAGCAAGTGGCCAGGGCTTATTTTGTTATCTGTGGACCCAGGGTTAGAAGGGAAGCCATATAGACATGCCCTTAGTGCAGTAATGCGTAGCCAGGATGCTGCAGGAGAACAATGAAATGTTGTTGATTTTCTGAGTTTTTTCTGGAAAATGCTGTTATTTTTCTGTCCTCAAAAAACAAGTGAGAGCTAAGCACCGGCATTTTCCAAGGGATGCCTTGAGTTGACTGAGGACCTTAAGTCTAAAAAAAGGTTGAGAACCACTGCTTTAGAAATTGGGTCCTCTCTAAACTGTCCTGTCTATTTGTCCATCCGATTACAATGGGCAAGGCCCACCTGGCTAACTAGTAGCCCCCTTTTATGGGGGCTAAAGGACAAATGGAACAACTAAATTCTTGGGACAACTAATGAAAAAAACAGGGTAGGAGTGTTGTGTGGGTCAAAGGGTCAAAACATGAAAATAAGTGTGCCTGCGGGGAAAACCAAGCAGAGCCCCCTGGGCTGCAGCCACTGGTCCTCAAAGGCATCCAAGGAGCCGGTGGATGCCTCCCAGTGGTGCTCTGCCTGGAAATGTGCATGGACAAGTGAGAGTAAAGCAGCCCCGCAGTCACCTTCCTGGCCAGAGCCTCCTTCCTGGTCAAGTACAGGGCCCACTTGGCCAGGGCCATCTCTAACTGTCCTGTGTGCCTTTGAGTCTAAGAGGACAGACAGCTCCTGCCAGCAGCCCTAAGCCAGGTGGGCATTTGCAGGGCCTAAGGGAGCCCCTGCCCAGTTCTGGATGGCAGCATCATGAGAGAAGGATGGTCCCATTCAGGGGAAGGAGCTTGCATCAAGCGTGGAACTGAGCAGATTGAATCTTCAATGCGCAAAGGCAACAGAACAGGGAGGTTTGCTTCAGGGTATCATGTAAATGGCTGCAAAGGCCTAGAAGAGAGCTTATCAAAATGACCAGAAAACTGCTGAGCTCACCAACTCTCCCTTCACAAGAAGGGAGTGTCAGCCAGGGCTTTGCTGATGTCCCATTGCACTAGAATTATTGCACAAGCCATCGTTTCTGTGCAGATTTATTGCCCCCAGTTGTACATGCTGGAGCACAATGAAGTATTCCTGAACTGGGGAGGCTGTTACCATTTAAGGGCTGTTTTTCCTGAAATGAAATATGCACAGTAGTGACTGGAGCACCCACATCAGGATAAAAGATTCCAGCAGCTGTACCCTCCTCTTCCCAGAGCATCAGGCTCTCCTGGGATGGGAAGGATGCTCTCTGTGTGCCAGATCATTCGTTTAGTTCTGCACCCACACATCTGGGATTCCCCCCTTCCCCATCTCACCACATTTCTTATGCTCCTAATTCAGTTGGAAATTCAGACCTACAAAGCCGGGCTTTCTAATGAGTTGACAACTCTAAGGCAGAACCTCAGTGTTGTTTTGGGGTTTTGCCCGGACCTGTGTTTTTGGGCTTGTGCACAATGGTGCTTTGTGGCATGCTGGGGCATTCTAGAGAACAGATTACAGAGGGACCTGGCTTGAAGCACAGGTACCAGGAGCCACTGGGCTCTGGTCTGGCATAGGCTGAGACACAGAGCTGCCGTAGAGCTGCCTCAGCTCCAGCAGTCTGAAAGATGCTGTTCAGGTTGAGGCTGTTGCTCTCAGCCTCTCCTGCTCCAGGCCTCTCTGCAGCCTGCTAACATAGCTATGCACTCCCCCAATGTTGCTTCTACTGGGGATGGCACACAGGAGCCAGGGGCCAAAATCAGGCCTCTCGTTTTTGTGGGCATTGGGATTCATCCTGATAGAGATGAGGTGTGAGGGAATCTGCACTGGAACAGGTTTGCCTAGGGATGCTCAGTGGCATGTGTCCCGTCCTGCACTCATTCTGCTTTAAGCCCAGCAGAAGGCAGGTGTAAGGCCTGTGGCTGTGCGTGCCTGTGCTTCCTGCTTTTTTTTTTATATATTTCTCTATATACGGTTATATATCTACCATAAGCTTTCCTTCACACACCTTACAACAGTTTTAAATCTGACGCACCCGCTACAATAAACTCACCTGCGCTCCCATCCACACGCCTTTCCCTAATTCGAAAGAAGTCTTTTAGTCCTCCTCCCTGTTTTGGGTTTTACATTCTCAGTTCATTCATTGCCCTTGTTGTTGTCACTGTTGCTGTCGCTTCCACTACTGCTGGCATCGTCTCTGTCTCCAGGTTCGGTTGTGTTGCTGTGCTCCTCATCATCCTTGTCCACTCCTCCTCTCGGTGGGTCTTCGAAAAGTTTGTGCCACGTGTCTCTCTTACAGGTGGAGTTGGTTGTAAATGCAAATGCCTAGCACTGGCCTACCATGCTGTTTACTTAGAGTAGCAGGGCTGGCAGTCAGCACCCGGTGTAAACAGCATCCTTTACACTGCAGGCTGTAATGAGAGCCATTGTTCCACATGAGAGGCCTGCCTGCCCTATACAGCGCCCCGCACTCTCTCCATTTCCTTCCTGCTTCTCTGGATTGTTCCTTGCTGCGTTCTTCATCCCTCTCCTGACCATCTTCTTGGTTTGCTGAGCACAAAGGGGTCAGATTCTGTTCTCAGCTGCTGCTATGCAAATTGGAGTTACTGAAGGTGTCCTCAGACAGCTCACTGCCTTTTTCCAGGGCTTGCTGCTTAAAATCAGCATAATTTGGACTCAGGGAGCCTGCTGAGGATGTGCAGTGTGACCCATTGTGACCGCAGCAGTTGGGACTTCAAAGCAGGGAGATCAAAAATGAGGTGTCAGTGGCTGTGATCTGCACTATACAGGGTGTGGGGACTGCACCATGCCCAAGGAGTAAAACTGGGGAAGCCATGGAGAGGCCTGAAGGTGGGAAACAGGGCATGCGAGAGGGAGAGGTGCACCCCCCCCGCTTTGGGGTTAAGAGTGGGAAAGGTGGAGTCCACACTGAGGAGAGGGGTAATGAGTGTGCCAGCTCCCAGCAGCCGAACTGCCATCCAGCTGTGCACACCAACACACACCCAGGGCATACACATAGTCCGCTCACAAATGCTTGCATGTGTACACATACACCTCTGCACACATAGCCAGACAAGGTCCTTTGGGTCAATGTGATATTTTTTATTAGATCAACTGAACAGATGGAAAAAATGTTTTTTGCAAGCTTTCATGCACAAACATCCTTCTCCAGCTATAAGGAGAGTCTGTCCAACATGGCTACAACCACCACCCCTCTGCACACAAAGCACATTCCTATAGGACAGCATTGTTTTTATGAAGCACTGAAGAAAGGAAAACAGACCCCTTTACAGCCAGGCCATTAAAAGACAAAGGGACAGATCCTATTCCATCTATTTGGCTTCTAGGTAGGCTTGCAAGCCTAAGTGTGATTATTTCACCATGCTCAAGTCCCTGAAAATCCATTAATGCATCTACTTTGGTAACGTGCCATCCTCTTTCCCATAAGACTGAGTCACAAAGAAGAAGCAAGCAGGAGGACCTCCCCACCCTTTGCATTAGCAGTTTTTCAGGGGCTCAAGCAGGGTAGAATATAATTACAATTAGGCACCTAAGTCAACTGACATAATAAGTACAATAGAATCTGGCCTGTATAGAGAGCTGCACCGGGGCAGATCTCTCATCAGTGCAAGTCTGGAAACCTCTGCTGAATTCTGGAGTCCTCCCACTGGAGCAGTTTCCCCATCTGCAAACAGGAGTGATGCTACTGACCTCCCTTGGTAAAGAGCTTGCAGATCATGTATTCTAAAGCAGTGTTGGGGAACCAAGAATTATTGGTAGCATGTGGAGTCTCTTTATTCTTAAAACCCTAGCAGCCAAATAAAACAACAAAGATGGAAAGCTGGGATTTGGCCTAAGACTGTTCCAGCCCCCAGATAAAGGGCTGCTCTTTCTGTGCTGTCCATTACCAGATCTGTGTCCATCCCCAAAACAGTGGGGCCAGATCCCTCCATCTCAAAGTCTAGGGACTGGACAGAAACCCTGTAAGTGCTTCTACACATGCAATTAATGTGCCCCTGTGCATCTGAATGTGCGCCCGTTGGGAGGAAATTTGCTCTCAATGGGAACAGTTCAGTCTAGGGCTGCTCCTGCCCTCCTTTTCCCCCCTGCAGCAGCCAAGGAAAGCTCCAGACTCCCCTGGGGCCAGCCCCAGGCTGGTAGCAGGCACAGGGGCTGGTCTCTGTGAAGAGGGAGAGAGCTGTCCCAGCTGTTGGGCAGCTGCCTTCCAGTCATGTGGAGATTGGGACGGGTCCCAATCTCCATGCGGCTGGCAGGCAGCTGGCCAGCAGCTGGGACAGCTCTCCCAGCCACGTGGAAATCGAGATGAGTCCTGATCTCCACATGGCTAGCAGACAGCATCCTGTGAGCTGGGACAGCTCTACCCACCCTGCGGCCGTCTGCTGCCGAGGCTGACTGGGAGCAGTTTGCTCCCAGTAAGCGTCTACATGTGTGCTTCAGCACTTTAGTTTAATGCACTGATTTCTAGTACCTGTATCTACAGGTACTAGAAAACAGCGCATTAGATTAATGCACTGCACAATAATTGCTGCACACAGTGACGGTCTATTATGCAGTAGGTTAATCTAATGCACAGTAAAGTGTCTTGCGTAGACACACCCTGTAATATCATGTCCACCCTTGTGCCTGCCTCAAACTCTCCCAGCAGATACCACCTCCCTCTCCCCAGGGGCCTCTACGCTGCAGAGCCCTTGAACTTGTTATATACTAATCTCAGCCTGGATTCCAGACCACCCACTTGCAACCCACAAGCTTACGTTTAGGGGACCCTTACGTTTAGGGGAATGTCACTTCCATCCCCTCCAGCCTTTGGGAGGGTTTCCCGTTAAATGTGAGGCTTTGTGATGCTTTCCAAGACAGCATCAGGGAGGGAAAATAACTTCATTGTGTTGTTGTTGGGTTTTTTTTAAGTTTTCTCTTTTTTAATTATAGGATGCTGCAGAACAACCAGCTCAGACGGATCCCTGCAGAGGCACTGAGGGATCTTCCAAACCTCCAGTCTCTGTAAGTCATTAAGGCGCAGCACCATGAGCTGCAGAATCCCTTGAGGCCCTGGGCTTCCCAGCATCTGAGTCACTAGTTCCTTTTTGGGGGATGTTCTGTCCCTTCGGCTTTTTCTTTCCCAAGTGAAAAAAAATAAATCTTCTGTCACTCATTTTGGAGGGAGCAGGGGCAGAGGCTGGTGGAAGGAGCTTTCTTGTTAAAGATGTTGCAGTGAGATTGGCCCATGGGCCTGTTCTGACAAAAAGGCCACTGGAACTGATATGTATTTCCAGAAGCACTGGGAAATGCCTTCATATACAGCAGTCTCCACCCTTAGCCCTGCAGCTGAAGCCTACCACACAGAAGAGAAAACAAGCATTGCCTACACACAAATTGTACTACTCTATGGCTACAGCTTCTCCACAGTGTGGGTGGAATATAGTAGTGTTAGTGTTTGCTAATAGGTTAGAGAGAATGGATTCATATAGGATGGCTTGGATAGGGATGAGCCTCAGGCAGGGGTTAGGGCTAGATGCCCTCTTGGAGGTCCTTTTCAGCCCCACTTCTCTCGGCTTCTATGATTTTGTGATATCATTGTAAAAATGCTTATTTCCAGCTAGTGATTCCAGGATTGGGAAAGAAATGTTCTATACCAGCATGGTACCCATTTATATTGGGATAACTGCATTCACACTAGGCTATGTATGGTGTATTGGTTACAAGATCACACCCGCACCTGCAGTGATTATGTGGTGCAATTTTCAGATGTAAAGCTGGGCTCAGAAACAGGGCTCTAGAGTTTTACTCACTGAGTTTGAGAAATAACTATTTGGCAATCTTGTGGTAAAGTGTGCAGTGGATTTCATGCATTTTTCACATTGTAAAAACATTTTGAATAGTTTCTTTTCTCCAGGTTGATGAAGAATTAATCTTAAGCTCCTCACTCCAACCCTAACCCAGCTGTGGTTTCTTTACCATGCAGAAGTGATTTAAATCAGAATTTTCTTGGTGTTCAAGAACATTTTACAATAGGCTTTTGTTGGCCATTCATCTCTCTATTGTTTAATCCAGATTTAAAATGTTGTGCCTATTAAAAAGGATTTGGTATATTTATTGCTATGGTTTTCAGAAATTGCTGTTACTGCAAGTGGGTAACATCATGACAGTCATTTCCCCATTTTAAAAATTGGAGACAGAGATCCAGGCCTTCTTCCTTCCTGCTGGGGGCAATGTGTAGTCAAAGAGTGTTTGTAAAGCCTTTGAAATATCTGCTTTGGAGGTATCATGTGGAAAATGTTACACGGTAACCCTACAAAAGTATTGAGGAATGCAACGGGGGTGGGGAACTTCACACAATAGTCTAGCCAAATCCCCCTGCATGCGGTGCTCTGTAGTGGGGCTCTGGGCCAAGCTACAGAGCTAGCTTGGCACCCACCAGCGGCTGGCAGTGATGTCTGGTATTGCAGCTCAGGACTGACCCTCCAGGGTTCAGCTGTCAAAAACAAAGTGTCTATGCAGAGACATAATGAAGTCTCCCCCAGAGCTACGCTTACACACCTAAACCCGTCTCTCCTTTGTCCAGTGGAGAGCAGAGCTGTGCAGCTAGTCAGTGCACTTGCAGCACATAGTTATTGCCGAAACCCCAGTATCGTTAGGCTATGCAGGTCCTGTTCCCCTGGTCAGTCTGGAGTTTCCACTGAGACTACAGGTGACATTTTGTGCGGCTGGCATAGCCCATGTGGCCTGGCACGCTGTCCCTGTAGTGGTGGCTGGGTCTCAAGGAGACTTAGGCAGCCTTATTTTAGTCTCACACCAGATTCATACCAGGGACACTTCCTTGACTTTCATAGGAATTACTCCTGATGTACACCAGCGTGAGACCAGAATCCAACCACCGGTATCTGGATTACCAGATACTATGAGCGAGAAATAAGTACAAACAAAGGGAGCCCAGTGGAAAAGCAACAGCTTTCTTTTCCATCTGCCAAAATTTAGAGATGTCCCTAATGTGAATTAAAGGTCCAGGAATTTTTATCCAGTTGACTCATAGTAGATAAAAGACCCTTGTGGCCTCTGTGAAGCTCTGTATTTATCCCTTACAGAGATGGCACCACTAGCCAGTGGAATAACTCAAAAGCCCTCAAGACCTCCCTCCTCGAAAGAACTTAAGCTAGCGGAAGCAGAGGAAAACAAAAAAGCCCAAAAATGGCTTCCAGACATGTCCAGTGTAGACTGGACATGGAGCCTGACCTGGCCATGGGCTTTTTTTTTCTTTTCTTCCAAGCACTGGCCCAGTGTGTCCTGCCTCATGCTTGCGTGATCTGACCACACAGTACAACTGCAGACTTCCAGGAAAAAGAGCAAGGCATGCCTCAGCATAGGTGTTGCCTAAATCTAACATTTGGGTGCCTGCCTCAGGATGATTCAAAATGACATGATTTGGCACCTGGGATCCCTGATCAGTCAATGAAAGACTTTGGAGATGCCTAAGAATAGTTTGGTAGAGGCACATAGGTGCTCAGCATAAAGGATGGGGAGCTGCAGGCAGCTCGAAAGGGCAATTCAGGAAGTCTGGAGGTAGCCAATAGGAACTGTGAAATCACAGGGATGTGTCTGAACTCCAGCCCATCTCAGGAGCTATCCACAAGTGCCTCCATTCAAGGCACCTACACTCCTTTCTGAGATCGCTACCTCATGGGTTTCTGATGACAGGTGAGTTTCACAAAAGCTAGTCTCACCTGTTGAGGTAGCCAAGGAGGAGGTAGTACCATGGCCACCCACCCTCTGCCTCAGAGTCTAATGCCTACAGATCTTGCCTAGGGAGACAGAAGCTGTAACACCTCTGGCACTTTCGGTGTTTTGCGGCAAATGATACAAGGCCATTTTGCATCACTCATTGAAACGCAGGTGCCTCAACACTGCCCGCCTAAGGAATGCCTTTGATTCTGTACAAGAATATTTTAGCAGGCTGTCCTACAGTTCCTAGAAGGGTCTCATAGCATATCCTACACTGGTCTCATATCAGCAAAGTATTAGCCAGGCTGGGTCTTCCTTACACAGTTGTAAATTCGGAGTAACTCCAGTGGTGTAAAATTGGAATAGATGAGATCATACTCTGGCCTATTATGTCCCCCTCTCAATGCAGTGCCTAAGAGGCTACATCCAACTCTGTTAGACTCTTCTTTATCAAGTCATCAAATAGTAGGAGCTGACAAGGGACTCTTCTTTTATCAGTTCTTCAAATAGTGGGAGTTATGGTTGCAAACTGCATGTCAAGCAACAAAGACACCGGTCTCTGCCAGGGCTGGGGAGGCAAGAGTCTAGTTCTCAATACCCATGACTCTTAGTGACACTTATGCTCCACTTAGTGAACTTTTACAAACCTGACCCCACACATGGAGCTGAAAAGAGTTAGAAACAGAAAAGAATGATTCATGACTAGTTTAGTCTTTTGTTCTGTGCAACACTTATACTGCAAAGAGACTATGTAGACACAGTGAAGTCCAAATAACCATTCCCAGCATGCCAGGCCTAGCTACCCACACAACACACACTGCTACTTTAGTTGGATTTTGGCATGTTCAAAAACATAGGACACAGTAAATGCCACAAGAGGACTCACAAGGTATTTAAAGGACTATAACCCTATTCCTATGCACTACAGTCACAAAAAGAAAAAGATTTGCCATTCCTCTCTTCCTTATTGTGCCTTTGTACGAAGGAGAAACTGGTGCTTCTATGCATTTTTGTGTGTGTATGTGCACACAAGAGAGTGGGGGGAGAGGCAAAGAAAGAGAGACACCCTGGCAACTTTCCTTCTAAATTTGAGTTCAGTATAGAAATACCCTTCTGTGGTGATCTCCCCTTGCTCATTAAATTCCATTAAATGAGTGGCTATTAGGATAAATTAGGTCTGATTTGAAAGATGAAAGGTTATGGAGTAAACAGCCTTCCCTTGTACCAGACTTCATTGTGTTTTAAGGCAGATATAAAGCTAAGCTGATTTGCTCAGGTTTCATTGGTTCTGCCAATACTTCTCTGAATGCAAGTAACTGGCCCCAGGCCATGAACCTTCAGTTCTTGCTGGGTCTCACAGAGATAGCCATTTCTGAAGAAGAGAGGAAAGGTCCGTACTGCAGATTTTTCTCTTATTATTATTCATGTATCTATGAGTAACTTTCCACAAGTTTATGAGGCTCTTATATATTTATTGCAAGCATATGAACCAGCCTGGAACATCCATATATCATTGCAGCCTGGCTTCCAAACGTTACAGATTGGGGTATCTGAGCCTGTGCTTATTCATCTTGCCTGAAGCCTCTGTTTTTTCCATTCAGAAATGGGAAACAATTTTATGCACTTCATGACTGCTCACCCTGAGTTATAGGGCTTGCATGGCACTTCATAGACTATTAAATAGCTGCCTGGCAATCAGGAACACACCATAAACTATAGTAAGCTGACATGAGAGTTAAAAGGGGGCTTGAAGACTGGAGCAGACTGGAGAGGGAAGGAATACAGAGTTGTAGTGCACAAAAAGGGACTGCACAGTGTTTATTTCCTTGTCCTTTCAGACATTTGCTTTTGAACAAAAAGCTCCTCCTTCTCTTTGGGTTTGGGATTTTGAAGTCTGTCAGCAGTGGTGCATCTTCAAATGTAACACAGAATTGAAATGCAGGTAAAGGAACAGAGGAGAGTCAGGCTGTGAGGAAGGAAGTTTTTATATAAACATCCACAGAGGCCTCCTGAACATGCTGACAAATGTTAGGTTTAGAGACCTACGTGCCCAAAAGTGGATTTGATTTGCTTGGCTGTTGTACATGAAATCAGGGTCTAGAGTTGGTCAAATTTTAGTTGCAGTTAAACTTTCTTGGGAGTTTACTTTGCAATAATTCATGAGCCCACTATGATCCCTACGAACATAGATAAGTCTCTGTACCGTCAGCTGAATGAACTATTTTCAACTTGTGTCTGATGTTTAGTTTGATTTCTGCTCCACCACTGTTCATCTCAGTCACGTG